GAAAAATAGTCTTGAAAGACTTAGAACTCTGATCAATCTAGTGAAAAATTACAAATCCAGAGGACTAATGATGAAGGTGCAGAATGAGACAACATTTTTGGACATGGCCAATGGAGGAATGTGCTTTGCTTGATCACGCATATTTGTTACTAAAGGTTTGGTTTGGTGTAAGCAGATTCCAAGCATCTTTTGAATGCAACAAATTATGAATAAGCTAGCTAAGGAGGCACATAAAGTTTGGTAAAATTCTTTTGGTGTCAGAGGCTCTATTTATGGATTGGTTAGTTATTCTATCTGCTCATCTCTACCTGTTCCCCCTCCTTTCTCTGAGGGGGGAGGGCTTAGCCCAAGCAGACTATAGTATAAGTAAATAACCTGTGACATGAATGGAGAGCCTGAGATCACAGCCCCATCTATGTTCTCTTCTAACTTTTGTGGGGTTTTGTTCAACCTATTCCAACTGAAATGAGTTCCTTTCTCCTTGATGGAGATGTAGAGGTCACCCTACATTTTAATTCTCTCAATAGATGATGGAAGCAAAATACAGCCATGGCTTGGGGAAACAATGCCAGAAAGCAGAACGACTCAACCTTCTTTTTGAACAAAACTTTAATAGGCCACTTTGTGCTCAGTTTTTGTAGTCACATTTCAAAGGCTCAAACCCTGAATGCCTTGAGGCCACATGTGGCCCTTTAGGTCCACAAGTAAGGCCCTTTGACTGAGTCCAAACTTCACAGAACAAATCCCCTTAATAAAAGGATTTGTTCTGTAAAACTTGGACTCAGTCAAAAGGCCATACCCAAGGATCTAGAAGGCCACATGCAGCCTCGAAGCCACAGGTCCCCACCCCTGTCCTAGACTCTTCTTTCCATATTTAATTTTATTGTTGTTTTAATCTGAGCTCATTAGAAAGCTCTTTGTGCCCTTGTACTGGTTTCTTCACATTTACCTCTTTCTTTCTTTCCCTCTAATTCATCTTCCAATTTGCTGTAAAATTGATATTCCTAAAGTGCAGGTATAATGTCACTACATTGCCCAAGAAGCTTTAGCAGCTTCTCTTTATCTTTAGGATAAAAATACAAACTCCTCTCTTTGGCATTTAAAACCTTTCATGATCTGGCCCTAGCCTATCTTTCCATGCTGATGACATCTCACTCTTTTTCATGTACTCTTTCTGTGCAGCAGAAAAACTGGAATACTTTCCTATTCCAGGTCTTCTGATTCTACTACTACCTTGTGGAAGTGACTTCCTCTCTTGGTGCCAGTTTTCTATTTGTAAAAACGGGGATAATAATACAGCCTACCTCACAGGGTTTTTGGTAGGATCCAACAAGATGCTAGAGGTAAAGTTCATCTTGGTAAAAACAACAAGATGCTAGAAGTAAAGCATCTTGGTAAAAATTAACTCACAATTCTACATTGCTGAATATTTTTGAGCTCTGTAGTGTTGCACAAAGTTGAGAATTTTGGAATTGTGACATCTCATTAGTTTGGTGGTAACTCTTTCCCAACTCTTATTCTTCCAGTTCCCAGCCAAAGCACAATAAAGTGTGTATACATTTTTATATTATAGTGATTTCACATGAAATTCTCAAAATAAAATTCCTACCACCTCCAAGATTACCAGATACATTCAAGGAAGGGTATATATGAAAGGTTTGGGGTGGGTGGGTAAGAGGGTGGCTTGAAAAAAAATAAGTTGGGATGATTTGTCATATAGGGATTATGGTATAGGTTGGAGCAGCTAGCCAGACCCCCTTCACTTGAGGTCTGGACTGACTCATGAATTGACATAACAAATTAGCATATTTTTTGTAGACAAGAAATCCTAACAAGGATTAAAATTTTAACCAAATCTCTTTGGTATAATTCAGTTTAAAGTTCATTGGCCTTAGAGTTTGAATCTTTCCTCTCATGCTATCCTAGTTATTTTGCCCATCATTTAACCTCTCTGAGCCTTCATTTCCTCATCAGTAAGATGAGAACAATTAATGAATAGATGAAAAACGCATTTATTAAGCACTTACTATGTATCAAGCACTGTGGATACAAGTACAAAAATGAAAACAGTTCCTGCCCTCAAGGCACTTACATTCTAATAAAGTATACAACACATATGAATGGTGACCAGAGAGAGAATATTAAGGGTTATTTTGGATTGCTATGAGAATAGATGGAAGGAAAAATCACTTCTAGCCTTTGCAAAGCATTTTGAACATTTTAAAGCCCTATATACGTTAGCCACTATATATATATTATTGGCTTACTTGGTCAGGTAAGGGACCAATTTTCATGATTGAAATACTTTATCTTTTGCAGGAGTACTCCTTCTCTGTTTTAGAAATGTAGGTGGTGATCTTAGGTTAATGCAGCATGATGTTTACAATTTTATACCTCTCGAAGCAGCAGTGATATCTCATACTCAGTGGGAGAGTAAGCTGGAAGAAAGGTAGCAATATCGAGGTGGTTAATAAATCCCATTGAGAAGTTGAGAGGAAAGGCTGGAAAGATAGACCTTTAAGTGTTATTAAAGTGTCAAGTGCTTCATATACATCATTTTATTTGGTCTTCTCAAGAATCTTGTGAGGTAGGCAACATTATTGTCTTCATTTAAACATATGTGGAACCCAAGGCCCAGAGAAGTGACTTATGGAACCAAGGTAAGGGGTAGAATCAGAAGACCTTGGCTTGGGTTCCAACTCTAACTTCAGTGTACTTGAGACTGATTATCCCCTTAAAACTTCACATTCTTTTTTTTTTTTTAAGGCAGTTGGGGTTAAGTGACTTGCTCAGGGTCACACAGCAAGTAAGTGTACTCTTGACTTCAGGGCTGGTGCTCTACCCACTGCGCCACCTCGTTGCCCCCAAAACTTCACATTCTTAAAATGCCCATATTTTTGTTATAACTACATGAAGTTCAGATGAAACCTTGACATGACAGTGGATTAGATTCTTGAATCACATCCTCATTAAAATCAATTTATGTGGGGTAAGTTAAGTCTAACAGAACAAAAAGACTGACTTCACTCAAATAATATTTCCATCTCCACCTATACATATATACACAGAGAGAATGATAAAAAAAATCAGTCTTATTACCTGGTAAATACTTTGAAAGGACACTATACATTTTCTGTACCAACATCTAGAGACTTATCTACTGGACTGCCCCCAGAGCTAATTTAGGATACACACAAGAAAGCCATTATCATCACTTTATAGCCATAACATCTTGGATCCATATGATTTTTGGCTGTTTCCAAAATTAAATTAACATTTAGAGGCAGCATATTTGCTACAATTGAAAAGACTTAAAGGAATGGGAATTCTCTCCAGGTCACAGGTAGCAAAGCAATTTCTAGACATTCCAATGAGGGATCCATGCCTCAGAACATGTCATCTGTTAAAGGGGACTACATCATAGAAGACAGCAGTCATTTATTTTTAAAAATCCAATTATATATGGATAAATACATAAGAACTCTTAGTCTCATTGCTATAGGATCTAGACCTTATAAACGATTAAGAAAATCCTATTACTCAAAAATGAGCTCTTGCAATGCAACACGTGTAACTTGGTTGTTTGGAATTTGGAACATATTTTCCATCAAAACAATTTTACTGTTTTCTTTCCACTGCTAATCTACCCTTGTTCAGTTGTTACAATTCCCTTCATGATCCTATTTGGAGTTTTCTGGGCAAAGATACTGAAGTGGTTTGCCATCTCCTTCTCCAGCTCATTTTACAGATGAGGAACTGAGGCAAACAGGTTTAAGTGACTTGCCCAGGGTCACATAGCTAATATCTGAGATCATATTGGAACTCAGCTCTTCCTGACTTCAGGCCTGGCTCTCTATCCACTGCACCACATGGCTGCCCATTACTAGTTATAAAACACAAATGTTGGCTGGCCTACCAGGCTTTTCTAGACAATTTTGTGGCCAGGATGGTATGGGGCTATTCTAGGCCAATATTGTAAATCCAGATTTTCAGGTAGCATATATCAAACTCTGCCTCTCAAATTATATACTCCATAATAGAAAGAATCCAAAGGATATTTGCGAATTGAATCAGTATCAAATTCTGTTCACTTTACTAATGCAAAAAATGCTTCACTTTTCCTAAATCAGAGGACTGTGGTATATACACTTTACCAAAATTTCCTCAAATTTTCAAAGTTGTTACTGCTTGTTGTTCTTAACAGTTTACAACAATACTGTTGGCAAAGATCCTTTTTGGTGGGATTTATGATGCTCTTCAATATTTCAGGGGTTACTCATTTATATTCTATTGATGGAAAATAATGGCTGCATTTCATTTCAGTGTAGGAAAAGCTTTCACCAACCAAATGTTCTGAAATCACATGAACTTTATTAAAGGTTGTTGTATTAAGTATTCATAAACAAAAATACATTTGACAATTACTGACTTGGATGGAAATCTACTTCTTCAGCCTCCATAATGTGAAATACAAGAGGAAAAATGATTAAGTGCTAAAGTTTTTTCAGGCTTATAAGATCCACTCCTGAAGAACTTTATAACACCATCAATATCAAAAGACAAGGGGAAGGGAAGAAAGAATTTCCATCTGATCTGGCATTCAAAATCTTGGGAATGGTGAGAAGAATTATAGTTACATAACACATTCTGCAGGGTCATACATTCCAAAAGTTGTATTTGACCTTTGTCCAACTTTAATACAATCTCCCTAGAGATCATAGAAGCTCTTTGTGTAGGCAGCTATATCAAAAGCCACATTTCTAAGATATATAACATCAAAACAGAAATACTCTTCATAGAATATATATTTTTGTAATTGGGAAAGAAAAAAAGTTTGTATGAAAAATTTTGCCCTTTCTACAACAGCATTTTTCTAATAATTCCCCAGATTCAGTTAAAACATAGAAAAGATCATTAACATTATGGCCAGGGAGAATGTGTTGACTACTAACATAATTTTCTATTTAAATAAAAAACAAAACCTAAAGTCATCAGTCTCACATGACAGAGAAGTTAAAAGTTTTTAAAATATTAAAAAAGGTATGAAATGAGGGAATTATTTTCTTGGGAATAGTTTATTAGTTTGTATAGTGTTTGTCAATCATTCAACTTTTTTTTTTTCCTCTCCTACTTTGACATCCAAACCAATCTAATCAGAGTCATCTTCTCCCCATATTTCATATATCGTAACATTGTTGTGTGGATCCAAAGGGACCTCTGAGTCTGGAAGCTTGAGGGAATTATCAGTTGCGATGGCCACTTTGAGACTTCGCACTTTAGACACAAATGTCACCAGATCCATCTCCAGTTGGGTTAAGGTATTCAGTGCATAGTCTTTGTTAGGGGCAGCATTCTGATTTTTCTTTCGTAGGGGGCGGCACAAACTTCCGCTGCTTAGGTCCTTATCCTGTCAAAAAAAAATTTAGTAATGAGTCATATACTTGGGGTTGAGGACGAGGAGTGTGGATCAATCTAAAGTAGCTGTTGTTGTCAAAGTATAACTTAAACACACTATGTCGTTCCCTGTCCGCCCCCCAGATAGCAGGATTACCTATATTATCAGAATCATATTATATTTATAAATATGATCAGAATCATATTGTATTATAAAATTACATTATATGTATATTATAATTATAGAATTATTTTCAAGCTGTAAGTCACTAGGAAAAACATAGCTATTTTCAAATAGATAATGAGCCAATTTTCATTCAAAATAGCTAATGTTTTAATTTTCCTGACTTGTCATTAATGCCTATTATCTGAAGGAAAATCCATCTGAGGAGTTTGTGTATTTGAATCTGCTTGTGGAAATATTTTTTCCCAGTTAGTTAGCTTCAGAACAGGGCCTTTGGATACTCTGTCAGTTAATCACTGAAGAAATGATGGCTCCTTATGTTGTCAAGTTCAGAGAACAAGTTTTAAAGGGTTCATTTAATAAGGGGATTCTAAACCTCTCTTTTTGGTCGGGTTCTCTTCCTGACATATGGTTGTTTTTTAATCCAATGATTTCCTCGACACAGGTATCTTCCATACCCACTGACATTTACCTCTTCTGACACCAATACTGAAAATAAAGCCTGATCAAACTCAGATACAGACAACATGCGACACAAAATGTAAAGGCAACCCAATACTTCACTTCCAATTCAAAACTGGATCCTCACCTTATTTTTGTCACCTTCCCCACGGAATCTTACTAGAGCATAGAGTAGTCCAACAAACAACAGCCAGATCCATTTATTCCCAAGCCAGCCTTTGGCCTGGTCAGATAGATTGTGTCTCACCCGAAAGTGGCCTCCGCAAGGCACATCACCCACAGGTTCTTTGGCTTTCTCTTTCAGAGAAGAGAACATAAAGGCATAACCTAAAGCAGTGCACATCAGAAAGAACAAAAAGCATTTCAGCATATGCATGATGAGCAGAGAGGGGTGAGTATTTGCTCATGGTGAGTGTGTTTCCCCAGGCATCTGGGAAACTGAAAGCCAAATTGTCTGTGTCTTTTGTGACATCACCAACTGCCTGAATCACTAGAATACATCATAACTGTTGGAGGATGGGGGGTGGGGAAGTGTGTATGTGTAATGGCCCATACCACCAGGTCAGAGAGAAGGGCTTAAGGAAAGGGGCAGGCAAGAAAGATGGGGCTGGATTAATCTGAAGCCCAATGTACTTCCTTGTTCCTTCTTTATATTGCCTGTGTACTATAAGCCCTTATTCCAAATACGTCTTCCCATAAAAACAATACTTTGAGTTCTAGGAATATGTCTTCATCACAGATTGTAAACTTTTTTTTTAAACTTACATAAAGAGAAAGACCAAAGACCCTGGTCATATATGGAGTCACATGCCAATCCTGAAGTAGGAAATATTCTATACTTACTGACACAAGACTTTGTTTAGTGCTTAATATCATCACATTTTTTTTTTTTTTTTTTTGCTGAATACTCGCTATGTGCTCAGCCTTGTGTTAAGCTGTGTGGTAGACAGAATACAGATTAGTCTAAGTCATGGTCCCTGCCTTCATGAAGCTCACAGTCTAGTTTGGAAAACAGGACACACACACACACACAACTAGCAACAAGATAGAACAAGATAGGGCATTATCGGGGCAAAATTGCCTAGGGGTAATGATACAGTGGTCTAAGACTTCAGAGAAGGAAAACAAAAGAATCTCAGAGCTGAGAGAACCCTCTAAGAGGACCTAGGCCAACTTGTGTATAAACAAGAATCCCTCTTTTAATATCTCTTGAAGACTTCAGTGATATATCCATGAAGTCAGGGAGACTTTAAGGAGGAAATGAGGTTTTATGGAGAAAGGCCTCATAGAGGAGCTGGTAACTGACTGTGGTCTTGAAGGATATTTTAAGGAATGGATATATGCTGGTCTGGGGGGAGGGGCGGAAGGAAGGGAGTAGTGGTGAATTCCATAAAGCGTAAAAAGTTAAATCCCAATAAATACTCAATTTCAGAATTTTCAGTATTGGCATATACCTACTTACAGAATCCACAACAGGGAAATTATGCTTATTATACACATTTTTTTCCTTTTACTTTCATGTCAAAAAGTACCTTCAGCTGTTAGAACTTTTATTAAAAAGAATAGGAACCAGAAGGAGTAAAACAAGGAAATTTTAGCTCATTGATGAATATTGAAGAGCTGAGTCTAAAGAAGATAAACAATATTTAAGGATAGATTCATTCAATAAAAGCTTAGGTTCTGGTGAAAGAGTATCTTCAGGAATTATACTTGGAATGAACTACAATGATTTCAGGCTATGAAAGCCTTTTATCTGGCATATCTCTGATCTGTCCGCTCACTCTCACAATCACTAGTCTAGTTCAGGCCTTCATCACTTCTCTGTCATAGTAAAACAGAAGCTCCTTGAGGATGGGAAATATTCATTTTTGTCTTCAGATACCTGGTTCTCAGCACATTGGTGCTTTATAAATGTTCGTTGAATTGGACTGAAATCCTGCAAACAGCCTCCTGATAAGTCCCCCTGCTTTCATGTCTCTTTCTCCTCCAATCCAGCCTATGGAGTGGCATTGCCACAATCATTCAGGAGGCAACAGAGAGTCACTGAAAGGTTACCTGACCAAAGCAGCGTCAAAGCCATTGATAATTTGTGCTCCATAAAGTGGCACCGACCTGGCTTCTCTCTATTCCCCTATACTGCAGGTGTACTGGTGCTCCTATAAACACTCTGGACTTTCCTTCCCCTACGCTGCTGAACATGCCATTCAACTCGAACGTTCTCTCCTGAGAACTCCACTCTTACACATCCTTTAAGACCCTTCACAACATTCTCCTCTTCCACGAACACTTTCCCCTATTCCACAAATCACATGTGATTTCTCCTCTGAGCTCCAGGGGCATACTATTTTCTACTACAGAACTGTTAACTTTTAGAATTGGAAAGGATGGTAGTAAACATTTGAGTTCAACTCTCTCATTTTATGAAGGAAACTGAAGTCCAGAAAACAGATGTGACTAACCAAAGGCACAATACTAGCTATAGTATAGCTATCTCCCTACTAAATGTAACTTTAGCTCCTTGAAGGCAAGGCTTCAATTACTTATCATCATTTCCTAATTATTGTTTAATTTACCTCCAGCACCTGGCATATAATTGCTCTGTATAGAATAGACACAAAATCAATGTTGCTGAAACGAATAGGTTATGACAGACAATTCAATTCAACATTTATTAAATACCTAATAATTACAAGGCAGCCATGCCAGTTTTGGACAAAATATGGTGCTGCCCTTAAGGAATTTGTATTCCATTGGAACTTATATCTGCACACCAATCAAAATATTAACCAATTTCTATCAAATGACCATAACATCAAAAAAGAGGACATATACACAGTGATTACGTATCTTTGAATGGAAACATTACAATGAAGCTTATATCAATGGGAAAATTTAGTGTTAGAACAACAGTTTTATAGAAAAAAAAAAATCTTACATAAAGAGGTAGTGTTAAACACCAAAACTGGTAACTAAGGACTAAGACCTTGAGAGGCAGAGATATCCTAGTAATTAGGGGGTTCTTCATTTGATTACGTTGATCAGATTCATTTGGATTATTCCAACACCCGAAGACATTGCCACCCATTACATCAGCTCACCAAAAGATCGCTGTTTTTTCCCCTTATCTGACCCTTCACCCCAGCTGCATTTATATATAGAACACTAGTGTCAAACTATATTCCTTCTCAGATCAAAGACATTTTCTCTAATTATTTTACAGAAGTGCAACTTTCTGGTTTCCTCTATTGCTGAAGTTAAGGGCACGACCTCTTCTGAAATGCCCCTAAGAGACCAAAGCAGGTATTTTTTCTCCTCAACTTTACTGTTGGACACAAAAATCAAGACAAATAAGCGATAGTTTCATCATTAGTGTATGCTTTATTTTAACTTAAACTGCATCTGCAATTTAGGATGAAAAAGGCTGTTGTTAAATTTTAATTATTTTAATGACTAAAATAATTAAAATGACTAAAGTCAAGATGAAATCAAATTTACTTTAAGCATTTGATACTTTAACAGTTTAATATTCTCTAAAAATATGCCTGGAGAAATACTGAATTTCTCAATTATCTGAGTATTTGCTATCTTTCCTACACACTCAATAATTACAACTATTATACTTCATACAGGCAAGGGCAAGTTTATAAACACTTTTCAAAATATAACAAAACAGACAATATTAGATTACAATGACTAGGATATGTGAAAACTATTCTTCCTTGGGGAAGAGAAGCTGCAATCAAACAGAATAGTACTTTAGAAGCAATACGATGTGTGAGTGACCCAATTGGAGGACTCTTCCTTAGAGCGTTTGGCTGAGCTATGTGTTGTAAAAATAGATTTGTAGGCCTCTGATTCTTCACTGTCTGCTATGGATCTCTTAGTGGTTCCAGAAGACTTACTGACTTTTCCTGAAGAACTTCCATTTGTTCCTAGAAAAACCAAAAAACAAAGGCACTAGTTTTAATTCTAGCATATCAAGTTAATATTCTTTTTCCCTTTGAGAGAAAACATTCCATGTTGCATTTACTCATAAATGTCAATCTGTTCCTCAAGTACATTTTCCTTCTATCTTCCTAATAATCACAAATTATATAAATATAAAAATTATATGAATCATAAATTATATGAATGATGATATGATCATCATTGCTAACTCCTCATATTGACATAGCTAGGAAATTTAGTTCTGTGTTTGGGAATTTCTATGCAGTGATATCTTATTTTAATGACAGATTTATTAGGGTAATTCTATTTTATATTGCTTCACATATGTTTTATATCAGGAAAATGTAAACATTTTCCCCCTTAAAATAAAGGATGGACTGCAAAAGAGCACTGTTATTTGCAGTCATTGCAAAGGACCTCGGGTTCAATTTCTAATTGCCTCTTACTAACTGTGTGGTTCTGGGCAAGTCAATAATTTAACTTGAGTTGCTTCATCTGTAAAATGAGTAACAATGATAAAATGGATATCAGTATTGAAGAGATTTGCCCAAGTCAGTAAGTCAGTAGCCATTATCACAGTTTTGTCCAGTCAACATTTTATACTAAATAAAATAGTAATTTAAATCAATACTAATTTCAATTTCAGGTTTTCTTATTTGTCTATACCATTATGCAGTAAGACAGTGGGGAAAAAATGATGTGTTTCTAGTTTTCCCTAAACCAGGGTAGAGTTTCTACCCCCTTGGCAGTCTAGTGAAGTCTATGGACCCCTTCTTAGAATATTTTTAGATGCACAAAATAAAATATATAGTATTACAAAGTGAACCAATTATATTGAAAGAGTTATTAGAATATGTGTGTGTATGTATGTATATACTCTAATCAAAAGTTAACAAACTCCAGGTTAAGAACCCTACCCTAAACCAATAATTATTTTCTCTAAATGAACAAACCTGCACTTTTCTGAGTAGAGTTGAGTTTCTTCTCTTTAGAATTAAAGTTTATTTCTTCATATTTTAAACCCTTAATCTTTGATGGCCCTGGAGAATCTGTAAAAGAATTAGAGACATAAAATTAGGAAGGGGTGAAGGGAAGAGAAAATAGCTTTTTAGCATAATGATGCTATATTAAAAAGTTACCTTCAGTGACCTCTGGTTTAGAAGCTGATTCTACTGCCTTGGGTTTTTTGGATTTCTGGCAAAAAAAAAAGGGGGTGGAGTGAAATCTGAGGTTAAACAGTTAGGAAGAAGCATACTGTCAAATGTGATTTGGAAATAGATTTAAATCTATCAGTCATGTTAATGTGTTTTATACAGTTGATTTGTTCCCTTCGGAGTACACCTCTAAAACTCCAGTAATTCACACAGGGAGAGTTGGAAGGTATCATAGAAATCTTTTAATCTTTCATTTTAGAGGTGAACAGAGATTCAAAGATTGTGGTTGTGATTTCCCAAGGATTATAAGTTAGTTTACAAGAAGAGCAAGTACCAGAACCCTAGTGGGGTCTTGACCTCTGATCTAAGGCTTTTTCCACTAAACACCAATGTATCATTCATTTTACAACTCAGTATGCATCTATTAAACATCTGTCGAATTTCAATCCAATGTTTATTAATCACCTAATTAAGTTCAATGCACTGTATAAGGAAGTAGGGACACAAAGACGAGAGAATCCCTGCCCTCACGGAGTTCAGAATTTACTAGGGAGTGGGGCGAAGACAAAAACCCAAATTACTACAATCAAAATTATAATAGAGTAAGTGCATCAAAGCCTGGGCTGTACTTTTTAGGAAGTATCTTCCCAGCTAAAATTTTCCTAGAATACTTGATCAGGATCTAGGCTATACCTCTTCTATACACTAGCTTGTAGTATGCTTATCTGTGAGTACAGCTGTTCCAAAACAGCCTCCCCCAGCAAAGAGTAAGATTTTTGAGGCATCATAAGACGATAGATTTAGAGCTGGAAGGAAACTTAGAGGCCACTGGCAAACACTGTCTTTTAAAAAAAATCTTTGCCATGTATGTAGGAAGCACTTAAAGGATTGGGGAAAACGGGAGATCCCAGAATCATATTTCCTACTGAAAGAAATGATGACATTGAAAAAGAAAAGATGACTAGAGTCATCTAGTCCAGCTTCCTCGTTTTACAGACATGGAAATTGAGGTACAGAGAGATTAAATGACTTGCCTAGGGCCACAAAGATATTAAATGACAAAACAACAAAACAGAAAGTTGAACCCACATCCTCTGACTCCAAATCAGTGCTTTCCACTGTACTCTGCTGCCCTCTAAATCATCAGGGAAGGCTTCAAGAAGGAAGTGGGCTCTGGGTTGGGCATTGAACATACAGATTTCAAAGAGGGAAATGGAAGACAATTCCAGACTTATGGGAGATACAACATACAAAGCATCCAAAAGAGAAATGACAGGACAACACAGGGAAGCGCTGAATATTTCCAACATAACACTCCTATTGGCAGTAAAATCTCTACATAGATTGATACAAAGCTAGCAGAGTATTCAGGATACTTTTACAATTAAGGTATTTTCATAGACATTTAGAATAAACATGGAGGCCTCCAAGCTAAAGAACCACTTTAATCAATGAACTTAATTTTGCCATCAAATTCCACAAGAGTAAAATACCTGGGTACTTTCTCCCTCAAAACAAAACCACATAAATGTAGCAATATAAAACTTGTAAATGTTTAAATATTGGAATGAATACCAGACTATGAGTGAGGACCCCTGGGTTCTAATCCTGGTTCTTTGACTAGCTGGCTGTGGAATCTTGGACAGACCATCTGATCTCTCTGGGTTTTAGTTTCCTTCTCTGTAAAGTAAAAGGAGTTGGATCAGAATATACTGAATATCCCTTCTAGTCCTACCACTCTACATTCCAGGAATCAACTGGAATGTCACTGTACAAATAGAATTTTATCTTTAAAAGAAATTAAGTACGACTTCATTGGAACCCAGCAGATGGTGCTAAAGAGACATTCCAGGGCATTTTAGGAGGTATCAATCAACCAACCAGATGCATCACCAGCAGAAATTTAAAAATAAAATAAATAACCCTATACAAAAAGGAGAATCTTTGTTAAATGAGAGTTCACTTTTTTTTTTAGATCCTGAGGTCTGCTCACATAAAGCACACTGCATTGCAAATTCAAAGTTGTTTTTTTTTTTTTAAAACTACCTCTGTCCATTTCTCATATAGGAAGCACATACTATGGTGGGAAAAGCCCTGGATTTAAGAAACAGGTTCATAGGCTCATGAAGCTAGACTGGAAGGGACCTCAGAGGAGGAGCTGAGCTTGACACACAGTCCCTGCACTATTTGCTACCTGAGTAACATCAATCACCAAACACCTCTCAAGGGCTCATGTGTAAAATCAATGAGATTGATACTGTATGTCCTTAAAAGCTCTTTCTTTCCAAATCCGAATCTATGATTTATGACCCTCATTGGGGTGGAGGAGAGACACATTCATTTTTTTAAAAAATGAATCAATTTAGTTTTGAAAAGGTCACAAACTTTAAAGATATGTAAGGCTGCTCTGGAAAGTGCTAAAGCAAATATTAGATGACCAGAGGCTCATAGGAACCTAATCAAGTATTCCACCAAGGAGCGATGGTTTAGTATTTTTTAATTCAGTGTTCACAGAAACTTTATAGAATTTAACTACCTTGAATGACAAGAATTAACTGTAATCAGAACTGGAAGGGAATCTTACTAGTCATCTAGTTCAACTCCTTCATTTTACAGATGAGAAATAAATAACCTATTATGGGCTTTGTTCTCGTTCAACCCCATTCGGGGTTTTCTTGGCAAAGATACTGGAGTGGTTTGCCATTTCCTTCTCCAGCTCATTTTACAGATGAGAAACTGAGGCAAACAGAGTTAAGTGACTTGCCCAGGGTCTCACAGCTAGTAAATGTCTGGGGCTGGATTTGAACTCAGGAAGATGAGTCTTCCTGACTCATGATGGCATCTCCTGGGCCACCTAGCTGTCTGGTTCAAGGGTTAAAAAGTTATTAAGTGTCCAAGGTGAGATTCAAAACTAGGTATTCTTGATTTTAAGTCCACTATTTTATGCACTACATTCTTAATTTTTAAATTTGTACTCCATGCTTTGGTGACAACGTAGTAACAGAATAATCATCAACACATCTACAAAAATACTTATAATGAATATCACATTTAACAGCAATATGATTTTTTTTTAAAGAAGTGACACACTTCAGTACAATAAAAGTTCTGGATATCTGGAAATCTCAGCAAGTTTTGTTGGAAAGAAAGCCTCTAGTGACACTTTTCAAGTGAGTGCCGAGCCAGCAAAGGTTGTGGAGGTTAGATTATATGTTTTCTGAAGTTCCTTTTAACTGGAAGATTTTACGATTTTATGTGTCATTCTGGGTGGCTCCCTTTGGGATAAATGGACTTTGAAAAAACTATTTCTGGGGAAAATATTCCAAAATGCATTATGTACTTTTCTGCCTTATAAAACAGGTCACATTGCATTTTTTGTCTTTAAAAAAATTCTTATTTTTATTAATGTCTTGTTTAAAAAATCACACTTGTTTTGTAGGGTATGATGGTCCATATAATCCCTGCTGGTGGGAAGGCTCTTTGCACAGGTTATATACCACCTCCTACTTCTGTGAATATCAAAGGATCTGTGATTTTATCAGCCTTAAGATTCCAGGGTTGGGAACTCTCTCAACTAATGGAGATGGCAACCATTTCAGATTCAGCAGATAAAGAAATCCAGATTTTAAGGAGCTTCTTATGGCATGCAAAGGTTAAATGATTTACTCAGGGTCACAAAGCTAGCAAGAAAGGCTGGACTAGAACCCAGATATTCCTGAAAGTAAGCCTGGCACTCAATCTGCCATGCCATACTGGCTATGTAGATGAAACTGAGGTGAAACTGATGAAGAGTAATTCAGTAAGTAACTCTAAATCCTTGAATTGGATAACTAACCAAATGCTCTATAATTTCCTGGATTACAGTGGAAAGTATAAAGACTTTGACCAAGGTTCACTTAACAGCTATTAAGAAGCTGAGGAATAATGTAAATTGTATTTATCCTCATTAAAAATAGTAGTCAAATGAACTATCATGAATATAATCTTACCAAGAACACATCTAAAACCATTAAAGATAAACACAATGGCATATATGCTGGAGAAGGAAGCAAAGTATATTACCTTTTCCAGTTTCATTTTGAGTCGTCTGTCTTCCATTCTCTTCTTTAACACCTCTACATCCTCTTTATTACCATTAAGCACAATGACATCATCTTCTTGAAAAGGGACACCACACTGGAGTAAAGGGAAAAAGAAAAGTCATCACACCAGTGCTGTGACACCAGAGATTCTCACAAGCCCATTTTCATCCTGTGCTTTCTGACACTTAGCACGTTTTGCTTTCTAAGTTCTTTTCTCCTTTTCCTAAGTTTTCCATTATACATCACTCCAGAACCCAGAGTTAATATATTTCCTTACTCATTCAGCAAATACAAGCATTTATCTAGCATTTACATGTGCAAAAGTAAGCAAGGGGTATACAATCTGGATAGCTGGCAGCGTAGAAAATGAATACAGAGTTTTGCTCAATCATAGATGTCAAGAGTTATTCATCTTTACATAACCATGCAGACATAAGCCCTTAACAATATGTCACAACAACAACAACAACAACAACATTTATATAGCACTTATTACGTGCCAGTCACTGTGCTAAGTACTTTACAATTATTAACTCTTTTGATCCTCACAATGCTGGGAAGTAGGTATTATTATTATCCACATGTTACAAATGAGGAAATTAAAGCAAACAGAGACTTGAGTGACTTGCTCAGGGTCACACAGCTAGTAAGTGTCTGAGATGGGATTTGAACTCACGTCTTCCTAATACCAGGCCAGGCACTCTATCCACTGTGCTGTCTAACTGTCCCTAATATGTATACAAGAAAGGATAGGAGGGAGCACAATAGACTAAAATTCTGCAAGTAAAGTAAACCCAGAAGGAAGGGTAACTCTCTAGAATAAAACTGTGAAAACACAAAAAGAATCTATTCCAATGAGGAAGAACATTTTGAAGGTACCTAAAGATACTGAAACTCACCAACAACTTGAGATTTTAAAAGATGTATAAAATATGGAAACAAGGAAAAGTAATGAATAATAAATAACAATAATAATAACAAATATATCTCTTTAAGGTTTCTAAAGTGCTTTTTATATATTATTTCATTTAAACTTTAAAACAAACCCTATAAAATAGGTGTTATTATCATCTCCATTTTATAGATGAGCAAACCGAGGCTGAAAGAGGTTTAAATAACTTGCCCAGGGTCACACAGTTTTTATGAGTCTGAGGCTGGTTTAGAACTTAGCTCCTCCTGACTCCACATGCAACCCACGTTTTATCTGCTGAGCTGCCTAGGCTGCCAAGTCAAAATAGCATGAAGAATGCTAAAGCTCTGAACAAGCTGGGGCTGACAAGGAAAACAAAAAGGATTTTTTAAAAGCTATACCAGAGAAAAGACAGAGAGGGAGAATCACTACTGTCAGAGAAGGCAGAGCTGTCCATCTGAAGGGCTGTGCAACAGAAAGGGCAGAATGACAAGACCTAACATGGAAGTCACACCCAAGACAAGGAGGTAAGAAGGGAGGCTTGAGAGGTTTTCCAGTCACTCATCCTAAATGAACAGCATCCAGAAAGAACTGGTGAGATTGCTGAGACGCCACTCTCAGTGAACCCCTGTATCACAAAAGGCAGGAAGAGATACACTATCAAATACTTTGCCGAAATCTGGATACATGATATATACAGCATTCCCCTGACTGACCAATCAAATACTAACTGACATTCATAAAGTGCTTTCGAGTTTGTAAAAGGCTTTACATACATCACTTCATTGTTGAGTCAGGCATTACAGGTAGTGTCCCTATGGTTACCTGATCTTGATGGAGCTATCACTACTTTTTCTACATTGTCCCAAACTCATCCCATTCTATAATTTTTCAGGAATGAAAATCAAGCTCATTAGCCAATAACTAAGAGAATCTACCTTTTCCTTTTTTTAAAAAATTAGGGTAATTTCCACCTTCCACCCCCTGAGTGCTGTTCCAAAAACCTAGAGAAAGGAAATTATCAAGGAGGAGAGGTAATCAGTAGTGTCAAAGGCTGCAGAGAAGTTGAAGAGAATGAGGTTTGAGAAAAGGTCATCAGGTTTAGCAACTAATCACTGGCAACTTTGGACAGAGTAGTTTCAGTGGAATTATGAGGTGGGGAGCGAGATTATAAAGACTTAAGAGAGTGAGAGGAGAGAAAGTAGAAGCACCTGCTGTAGATGACCTTTTTAAGGAGTTTAGCCACAAAGGGCAGTTTTGTGTCATCTGCAAATTTGACAAGCATGTCATCTACGTCTTTAAGCCACTGCTAAAAATGTTCAAAAGAACAGAACCAAGAGAATATCTCCGAGTTTCTCTACTGAAATCCTTCAAGCTGATAATGACCCATTAACTATTTAGGTTCAGCCATTTAAGCAGTTCTGAAATTACACTTACCTTTTAGCTCACCTGAGAAGCATGAAGGACTTTATCAAATGCCTTGCTAAAATCTAATTAAAAATATATTCAGAATCCCCTTAATCTTTTGTCAATTTAATAACCCCATTAAAAAAAAGGAAATAAAGTTAGTCTGGCATGATGAAGTCTTGATGAAGCCTTGACGGCTCTCTGTAACCAATGCTTCTTTTTCACTTACCTTCCCTTTAAGACGTTCTTTAATTTTACCAGGAATTTTAAAGTCAAACTTACTGATCTATGTGGTCTGAAGACTTCACTCTATTTCCTTATTAGAAAATCAGGACAGGGTTTGCCTTTTTCCAATCTTGAAGTGCCTTTCTCACTCTTCGTGATTTTTCCTTTTTTTTATTTGTTATTTTTTTTCCTTCATGATTTTTCAAAGATCATTTAGAGTGTTTCACCAATCACATCTACCCATCTACCCTGGGATGTAATTTATCTTGGCCAAGTGACTTGAATTTGTCAAGGGCAGCTCCTGTCTGTACCTACTGATCTTGGGGTTCGGCTCTATGTTAGTCTTTTCTGTCTGTTTTCCCTCGTCCATTGTCCTCCACAGAGAAAAATGAAACAAAATAAGTAAGAAGCTCCATTTTCTGTCACCCATTATCACTCACCCACAACGATGGTCTTTTTTGATTCTATTCTTTTTCTCATCTAGGTTTAAAATAAAAACCTGTTGTCTGTTTATCATGCCAGTCTCAGTTCTGAGCTTTACAGCTTTTAATGCTATTCTTGGAGTACCATGCTTTCCTTTGCATTTATCCTGTTTGCTTCCATATCTTCTTCTAATTTTAAAGTTGGTAGAGAGCTGACAGCCTTGAATTTCTAACTATGACTGTTTCAATAGGTGGTCACAGAGTTCTGCATGTAGATGGAGTCCATTCTAATGAAAGAAAATAGTATGGCAATGGTAATCTTGTAAGCACCAATTTACAAGATGGGTGAAGGTCTACACTCTTACTATTAAGAGCTACAAATAAAAAGATAAGTAGTTCTACATGAGACAAAACACACAGGTTCATCTAAAAGGTTGAAGAAATAACTATTAAAAACAAGGGTAAGGAACAGTTTCGGACAGTGGATTTGCTCAGTTCAGAATCTGTTCCTGATTAAATCAAAGGCCATGGAAAAATGACCTAGTATCTGTTAGCTGAAATTCACAAATAAACAGCTACAGTCCACGCTGCCACTTATTGTCTGTGTGACCTGTGACCATGGACAAGTTACTTAAACTCTAGGCCTCATTTCTCTCATCTGAAAAGAGGGGGTTGGACTAGATGACCTATTAGGTCTCTTCCAACTTTAAATCGATAATCAGACATCCTTCAGGAGTATCTCTGGTGAGTCAGTTCCTCTTTCATCCAGTGTCTGCTTCTTTAGGTCATGTTGAATTCTGTCTTTAAAAATCAAGCTACTGCTATCAGTTCCAGTTTGGGACAGAAACCAAGAATCATTTCTGAGTCATGACAGAATAGCAAGTATCAATCTGTTTGCCAGGAACAGGGAGCATGACAACATACTGTCTACTTCTTCCAGATGTGAAAATGGAGGGTCATGGTCTTGATCCTGAATGACAGTATAGTCCAAGAATGAAAGAATTTGGGGGCAGCTAGGTGGTGCAGTGGATAGAGCTCTGGCTTTGGAGTCACGAAGACCTGAGTTCAAATTTGACCTCAGACACTGTGTGACCCTGGGCAAGTCACTCAACCCCGAATGCCCCCCCCCCACACACACAAAGTTTAAAAAAAAAAAATGAAAGAATTTGGAATGTGCTAATGCCCTTAAGGTAAAACTAGGTCTTACTGTCTTTGTATCTTCCCTAGATCCTAGTCCCATGGCCGCAATTATTAGTAAAGTCAAATGAACACATTTATTCTGAACAGAATTAGGTTAAAAAAAAAAGTTGACTTTTACATTCCCCCAATCCTTTACAACAACTTTGGGTGCTAGACCAAGCTGCTATATCTGGTATGGGATCTTCTCCAGAAATTCAAAGAATGCTTTATAATATCTGAACTATCATTTACCATAATCACAATTTACTTTTCTTGTAATGGAAACCAAGATAGAGAGCAAAGTTGGCAACATTCCCCTTTTCCATTACAAAATTCAGATAGCTCTTATCTAATGCTTTTCTTTCTTAATGGGGGGGGGGAGGTAAAAGCATGTGCAGATTTAAGCCATATTTTTAAATTAATGAAAAATTCCTAATAAATTAAAGATGGAGAGAAATTAAGTTCAAGTGCAATTCTGTTTTATCTTAGTCATTATTTCATTACAATCTAATGGCCTGAGTACATGACACACCTATTAAAAAGTAACACAGACAAAATAGCTATTTTTCTTTCAAATCTTATAGGTCCTTTATTTCTTTCACTAAAGAGAAATCTTCATACGTTTTAAAAAAGTTATACTTCCGCATATTTTTTCATATTTAACTAAAATCCTGCTCTAATACCTTTCTGTTGCATGCAGATGAGTCTCGGTTCTTGAAGGTCCATGCTCTTGCAGGTTCTTTCCCACATGGAATAGTTTTAGAGGGGCTCTTCACCCAAATGCCCACAGGGTACTAAATTCAGCAGCTATGGTAACTCAGAAGATCATCCACTAAATGGTAAAGGGGTTGTAAACTATCAGCACTGATGAAATCAGAAATCAAAGGTTCCTGAAATACTAGAGTAAGCTCAGAGAAGTAACAGGAAGCAGCCTAATTGTCCATTTAGTGTGTCATCACACCGATACTGGCTTATTTCCTACCCAAGCAATGAGGGACAGACCTTGCGTTAAAAAAAAAAAAATCAGACTGGTGTTTAAGCTATTGTTCAGAATTCAGGATGTAGCTCTTATAGGAATATTTTGGGAATGAGGACAGATGTTGAATTATTGCTTATTTTCTTATTTTATTCATTCAGAAGAAGCAGCACAAAGAGTACTGGTCTTGGACCATGAGATTTAGGCTCGAAATGAGTCTCCAACATTTACTAGGAGTGTGATTACAGGGAAGTCATTTAATGTCTTTGAGTTTCAGTTTTTTAAAATGTTTTACAGATACTTTCTCCTTTATATCACTTTCATTTCCCAATAGAACTCTCTTGTAATATAGTCTTAGTTTTCTCATTTTATAAGGAAAAATAATAATAGGGTCACTGTAAATAAAGTGCTTGGTAAACCTTAAGGTGCTTTAAAAATGCAAGTTACTTCTTGTTATCAAGTAACATTTATTAAGCTTTTACTATTTATAATATACTGCACTACAGACAAGCGAATCAAACAAACCAAACATTTCTTCCACAATGCGGACCTTCAAATTCTTGAGGACAGCTATCATGTTCTTCCCTCTTCTAAGTCTCTCCCTCCCTCGTCTTTAATTAGTACTGATAATAGCTAACATTTATACAGCACTTTAGGGTTTGCAAAGTGCTTCATATTATACACTATCTCACTTTTACCACGGAACAACACTGGCAGGTAGGTGCTATTATTATCCCCATTTTACAGATGAAGAAACTGAATCCAAAGGTTAAGTGACTTGCAGAAGGTCACACAGCAAGACTCAAATTTAGTTTTTTCCTGACTCCAAGTCCAGAGCTCTATTAAACCAGCTTGCTGTCTTTCTAAACGCAACATCTCCAGGTCCCTTAAACCCATCCTTTTATAATATATTTGTACCTTTAACATTATTTTCCAAGTCAAAATTAAGCAGTTTAAAAAACAAATATTTAAATGCTCACTCTGTTTCTGTTTCCATGTCCTAAAGCACAGGTGTCAAAACCCACTGCCTGGCAGCCTGAACCAGATTAAAATATAACTGGGAAATATTTAACAAAATGAATAAAAATACAATAAAACAGACAAGATTACATTTTAAAACTAAGTCAATATGGGGCCTACAGGGAGTTGAGATTGGTGGCTCCCTTTTCTATTTGAATTTGACACCACTGTTTTAAGCTCTTTCTCTGATTGTGGTCTAAGGAAGGAATTCTTAATCTGGCATCTGTGAACCTTTTTGTTTTAAATATTTTGAAAACTATTTCAATAGAATTGGTTTCCTTTGTAATCCTACATATTTTATTTTATGCTCTTAGATGTACTATTCTAAAAAGAGGTCTGTAGGTTTCACCAGACTGACAAAGTGGTCCCTAACACATAAAAAGGTTAAACTCCTGGTTTAAAATCTCTTCCAGACATTCTCTGATGTACAAGGCACTATATGCTAGACTTGAGGCTACAATTCCAAACCAAAACAGGCTCTAGCTTCAAGAAGCTCACATTCTACTGACAAGGACACAAAATGCAGACCAAAAATATATAAAGGAAATAGAGAAGAAATCAAACGAACAAGAGAATGAAGCTGGTAAGAGGTGACAAGACACCCGAGCTGGTCTGGGCACAGCTTCTAAGCTTATTACCCAATATCTTGTGACCATATAAAGCTTTGCTTTCTACTGACCTGTGTTTACGTCTTACTAGATGTAAGCTCCATGAAGGCAAGAGGCTTGTCTGACCTAAGCTTTCTAACTTCCCTAACAACTCACACACAGTGTTCAGCTCTAGGCATATTTGTTGGCTGGGTATTTGTTGAAGGAATGAATGAATCCTTGGCACCAAACTTATAAATTTGTGAGAAGTAGGAAGTAGCAGTTCAGAAATAGAAGTAGGGAGCCCTAAAGGCACCAGAGAATGCTTTTGGTAATCAAACTCTACAGCCCACTACAAAGTATAGTAGGGTCAACAGAGATGCTATATGGCACTGCATTTGCTAAAAGCTAGTCTTTTCCATTCACAAAGGGGCCTTTTATTTCTTGGCTTTTGTTGGATGAAATTAGTATCCCACCTCAGAGACTTAAACTTACAACTTTAAAACACTGGACTTACTGGATTTCAGTAACTCTAGAAAAGATATAAAAATATCAACATTATCCTACCCATATAAAAGGAATGTCTTGATTCCTTCACGGAAACATTTCAAAATTTTTCTTCAAACACAACCTAAGTCTCAAAGTCCAAGGAACCATAAATAAGTAAAATCTGTACTCATTAAATACAGGACTCAGATGATTCAGATGCATAAAAGAAAAGATAAAGAGATTATAAAATTATCAACTACTTAGGGCCCATTTTTTGCCTGTTCCCCTATCCCCAAGAGGTCTGGCTATGTAAAAGCAACAAAACACAGAGAATGCCTTTATAACCAGTGAAAGTGGGAAAATTTTAAAGCAAAAGCATCCTGCAGATGAAAGCAAAAGAGACTACATCTTTGCAATGTATTTTGACACAGCTCCACCAACAATGGAGTTTATCACCTTCAGTCCTAGAGGATAAAAACACTGCCCAGGTTTACCAGAGTCACTGCAGTGAGGTACTTAAGAGATTAATGCTGAAACATGAAGTATTTAGATTTTCCTAAATGCTATTATGAAGCTGACCATTTTTTTCTAGTACTAGTTTAGCCTCCTAATGAAATGCTAGATAAGGTCCTAGCACGATTTATTTAAATCAGAGGAATTTTATCTACCCTTGCTCAATATTTCAGCCAAAAGAATGCTTAGCTTACATGAATCATCATCTTTTAACCTCCACCTATGAGAGTTTCCAAATCTGATGATATGAAAAAGAAAAAAAAATTGCTGCACTATGCTGAGCTGATGGTTTTGCTTCTTCTGTTTTCTTCAAAGACTCACAGCTAAGAGACCCACAGGTCAAAATAAATGAGACTGAAATTCTCAGGGGACAAAAGGGCAACAAAACCTGCCAAGCAACTCTGTTCATGTGATTCAAGCTGGATCTGTTGAAAGAGAGGACACTGATAGAAGTCGAAAACAAATCCAGGAATGAACCCTGCTGTGATTCTGCTCCGTGGGATCTGAGAGTTGCCTTTTAGTGAGTGTTTCCTTTAATACTGTGGGGATATAAGTGGCATGTGTTAAAGCTGGTACTAGTTTGGAACAAAAATGTTTTTATTTGCTCCCTTCTTTGGATTTAAACCAGCCATTACGGCAGTTATATTTTGAACTGAAGGATCCTTGGGCATCTCTTTCCTCACAGAGCAGCTGTTAGAATTCTATTTAAACCCAGGAAAATGAATGGGGATAAGTCAAAGTACTGGAACAACTGTGCATGAAATGTATCAGCATTGTTTTTAAATTCAGACATAGAAAAGAGTTATTAAAGCCACATATAAAGCTCTCTTGTCCCATACTGTGCTAGGACTAAAAGCCAATGGTTTCATTCTGTCATACCAGTCATGCCTAAAAAAAAAATCTTGTTTCTTTTAAAAAAAATTATGGTCCTAATAATTCAATAAAACTCTAATATAGATTTTAATGGTACGTATCCTTAACTGGTAACATGAAGTTTCAGTCATAAACATGTTTTATAGTTAATTTATTTGATTTTGAAGTACTATGGCATTCTTTTAGGGTATCTTCAATATTATTTTAGGACTAAAAAAACAAATTACAAATGTACATTTTTCATTTCTGTAGATATGTCGATACCTTAGAGTTTTTTCTGGAAAAATAAAAATCAATATTTCCATCTACTTCAGTAAACAGAATATTTAAATATCTAATATTTAAAATTTAGTACTGGGGTAGAGAGAGTGAGCGTAAGACAGAGGAAATATTCAGCTTTATATCACCATATTCTTAGGTTTTTAAAGTTTCTAGACATTCCATCAAATTGAAATCTATTTTTCTGGCATTACATATAAAAGTTAACGTAGTAAACTCTTAAAATGCCTTAAAACTGTATATGATATCCCCAAAGCCAAGGAGAAAAAACGCCTAAAGAATACCTCTATACTTGTACAGAACATATTCATCACCAGTCAGGGAGGTACAGCTAGCCTGAGGGAAAAGCAATGAGTTTAGAGAGAAAACTACCAGTGCCTCTGGTGGAAAAAAAAAAAAAAAAGCATTTGCTACAAGGGGAATCCCATTTAAAGAAACTCAAAAGGCCTCCTCCTTCCATACAATTTTCTACAATCAAAAACTGTCTACATGAGCTACTGACATTAATTTTCAGAGACCTCAGGGCAAAAGTAGTGAGACAGAACTTAAAATACTGTATATCTTACTGGGTCCACTGGTAAAATGACTTGAAATTTACCACTGTGACATAGAAAAACATATATTGCTACTGGGGAAGAATAGCATGCCTCATTAACCCTTATAACCAGTGTACAAAATCAGATACAGAAATGCTAATAACTATAAGCAGAAATCATCTCTGTAGAAGTAGCATTCCAGGTGTTATATATTTTAAAAAATGAACTAAATTAAGCAGATCTCATTACAAGGATTTTTTTTTCTATAAAGTATAGGCAAGCAGTTGAGAGGATTCATGGCTCCTAAGGGTATTGTGAGATATTTTTTATTAGAAATAATTACAGAAAACTAGCTCATCATGTAATCTACCATTCCTAAACTAAAATTTTTACAAAACTGAATCACTAGAGGAATTTATAGGTTCAGAAAGAGAAGAAGAAAAATAATTAGAGTTTATGAAAGAAAATTAAAAATCATTTACAGGGGATTGAATAGGATCATAAGGTCATAGACTATCAAGATGTTTAAGAATTACTGAACTTTAAAACTGTTTCTAACAATTTTAAATTTACAAAATGCTGAACTGACAGAAATTGGTTTGGGCAATAGACTTAGATCCTATGATCTATAAATTGCAAAGCAAGTTATTTATTCTGTAAGGAATAAGGAAGGTAAGGTCAGGTTACATGTACATTTGAAAAAAATTATGTATCAATGTAAGTCCTATCAAATACTTACTATATAGATCCAAATATAACCCACAATTTCCCCTGAGAATCACACTGTATAAAACACAAGAGTGAACTAAGAAGTGATGTTTTTTTAATCACTGAATACATATATACATAATATATATTATATATCTTTCCTGTGAAAAATATTTTATATTAGCACCAATACAGTATTCTAAAAACATATAAATCATCACTGATTTCTAGGCTCATTCACCTGGCCAACAAAAATGTATTGTCTACCAAGTAAAGTATACTATGATCGGTAAAGACAAAGATATAAAAATAATTTAAGACAAATCTTGCCCTTAAAGACCTTACAATTTAATAAAGGGAAAGTAACACAAGGATACAGATAAATGCAAATCAGAGTATAAAAGTGCTAAGTCAGATGAAGAAGAAATAATTTCTAGTTGGGAGCATCAGGAATGGCTCCATGAAGGAAACAGCATCTGACTTGGGTCTTGAAGGATGGGTAGGACACAGTCAGAGACAGGAACACTAGACCTGGAGTCTGAAGACATAGATTCTAATCCTCTCTCTAACCCTTATTGGCATGAGGAGGCCTAACTACCTGGGCCTAGTGTTGAAGCACTTTTTTAGAAAACAGAGGAAGGAGAATATCCCTAGTGCTTACTATGTGCCAGGTACTGTGCATGGCACTTTCCAAATATTATCTCATTTGATCCTCACAACTACTTTGGGAGGTAGGTACTATTATTATCTCCACACTAAGGCAAACAAAGGTTCTATGACTTGCCCAAGGTCACAGAGTTACTAAGTGGCTGAGGTGAGAATGAACTCTGGTTTTCCTAACTCCAGACCCAGTGCTCTATCAACTGCACCACTTAGCTACCTAAGTTAACAGTGAAATGGTGAGAAGACTACCTTTTTCCTGACTCTGAATCTTTGAAAGCTGCAGTGTCTCCCTGGTTAGAATATAAGCCTGTTGAGGGCAGGGACAGTTTCCCTTTTGCCTTCCTGTCTCTGGCTCTGTCCTACCCATCCTTCAAGGCCCAAGTCAAATGTGGTACACAGGCAACTAATAAATGTCTGTTGAATGAATGATTGTAACATATACCCTCATCTCTACATTCCTCTCTTCCTTCACAGTTCAACTGAGATATTATTGTCCCATGAAACCTTCCCTAATCCTTCCCCCACCTAAAAATGTTCTGTCCTTCCTCATATTCCCATAGAGCACTTTGCTTGGCACATTAATTTGTGCCCTGCATTCCCTACCTTACATTTTATTAGCTGCATGTTATCCTATCCCCATCCTCCAGGAGAACATAAGTTTCTTAGGGGCAGGTACCATGTAATTTCCAAGACCCAACATGTTTTGTGCTTAATAGGCTTTTTCCCCCAATAGAAATAAGTGTTTGTTGAATTGAAGAGTAGTGGACCATTGGAAAGCGAAGGCTTCAGAGCCTCTGGCAATAGTTAAGAAGTCGGGGAGAGCCCTATCTCTAGTACCCATCATCTCTTCTCTTCTCTACTAGAGAATCAGAGTTAGAATGGTTAGGCCTACATCTCTAATGGATTAGACTATTAAACCAGCATCCTAAGTGGCTTCCTGCCTCCAGTCAACCTTCTCAGACCATTCCTTGCATAGATGAAATAATAATATTTCCAATGCTCAGGTGTGACCATATCATTCCCCTACTAAAAAACTTTCATGGTTCCTTTATTTTCTATAGGCAAACTCCTTAGCTTGGCATTTAAGATTCTCCACAATCTGACTCCAATCTTTCCATCACACTGCTCCCTTTCACAAAACCTATATGAGAAGAGCCAAACTGAAGATCAGTTGTGTTTCCTTGATTTTATCATTCTCCAAGCCTGAAACATACTCCTATCCTCATGTCAAACTGCTGAAATCCTTAAATGCTCAGCTCAGGTACCTTTCCTCACGAACTCACTAGTCCTCAGCTGAAAAAGTTCTCTTGCTCCTTAAATTTTCCTAAAGAATTTGTCTGCCTCTCTCCTTTGCCCCTATCACATTCTGTTTTACAGTGTATTTATCTGTCTTCTATACACACAATCCCCTCCCTACTTTGATTATAAGTTCCTCGAGGGCAAGAACAATCATTCTTTTATCCCTACTGCCCAATAAATGTCTGTGGAATGGACTTGTAGTCTTTTAGGAATAAATTTAGTTCAGTTTCTCTCTTTTAGTCAATCAACAAACATGGCCATGTGTTCCACTGCATCAAGCTTTTACTAGCACCAGTTTTGCTGAGAAGGAGAGCTTAATGGGCAAAAGCAGAGATATTGAGATTAGAAATGCATTTGATTTTGTAAACCTCATAGGCTTTAACAAGCATATTTTGAACAAAACAAAAACAATTACAACCACGTAATTTAGGTACATTCATTGAGTATTTTTCAAAAGTTATTCCTCAATGTTTTTCAAAGAAAAGCTAACTGCCTGGCCACGAAGAGTTAAATCCATTGGGGATTTCCATATTATTCACTAGATCTGTTAGCAATCTAAAGGTTAAAGCTGCAGCAAGACTATTTATAATCAACAGCAATGCAGTCTTCACAGTTCTCAATTACAAAGACTGGCTTTGCTGCCTTAAAAGGGTTGTACTGGAACAATGACACAAAGCAAAAATCTGGGGGCCAGCAGGCTTCCACTCCATATCGCATCCGAGAGAGCATCAAGTTCTGAATTTTTAAAGGACTTTCAACTGAACAAAGTTTCTACGGGCAACTTAGTGATGCTGGGCTAATCCAACTAAGCAGAAAGGTACAGATTAATATTTAACTAATTTCATGTGACTCTCTCAGAAAGGTATAATGAAACCCTCAGCCTGAGTATTGCCTGAAGGATAATGGATTACATGTGGGATTTACCTTCATTTAGTTATCAAAACTACTGAAAAAAAAATACATGTATGTAAATTCCCTAGGCTCTTTTATAGGAGGTATGTTTAAATATGCTTCAATTAACATTCAAAAATTCTATACTTTATCAATTACCTGAGTACGAGAATCTTACAGTACTATGAACTGTTGTTATGCAGTGCTTTGAGAATGGTGTCAAAGAAGCCTTTTTATTTGATGTTTTGAGTGAAAATATTTTAATATACAA